TGATACGTGGTAAGCTCCAACCCGAGAAGACGGAGACCGTAATTCGATCTGTTCGGAAAACCCGCGAAGGCGGCGTGCTCATCGAAATGGAGCGCTGTGGCGACCACTCAGCATTTAGGGAAAATTTGTGCACTGCCATTGGCCAGCTTGGAGACGCCCGTATTCTCACTAGACGTTTACGTATAGAAGTTCTGGGCATGGACTGCCTAACCACGGCCCCAGAAGTGGAGAACGCTATACGCGGGGAGTTACGCGGGGAGACAAGATGAATGGCCAACTTCGCGTCTCACTCCTCGCTGTAAACTCGCGAGAACAAAGAATAGCTGTGGTGGAAATCGACGAACTGCCAGGCCGGACTCTTATTGAAAAGGGGAAGCTGCGAGTAGGTTGGATTATCTGCCGCGTCCGAGAGCACGCGGATGTCCAAAGGTTTTTCCGCTGTCTGGGGTATGGCCACAAAAAGGCGGCATGCAAAGGCCCAGACAAAAGCAGTTCATGCTGGAAATGCGGTCAGCAGGGCCACATAGCCTCTGCATGTAAAGAAAGCCCAAGCTGCTAGCTGTGCTCGGCAGGAGATGGACAGAAAAAGGCCAATCACCTGCCCGGGTCGGGAGCGTGCAAGGCCTTCAGGGATGCCCTTGCTGAGGCTAAGACAAAGCTTGGGAGAATATGATTAAATTTATACAAGGCAATATGAACAGGATAGCTGATGACCTGCTGAACAAAGAGCAGACGCTGTCATCATCAGTGAACCCTATAGAACAAAGGAAACCTGGCATGTTGACCAATCAGGCTCGGCCGCGATATGGATTGCTAACCCCAACCATCGCGCAGAGAGCAGCGGGTTCGGACGCTGCTACGTCTGGGTGAAAATAGCGCAAATCACTCTGGTGAGCTGCTACCTGTCTCCAAACGACACAGTCCCTGTCTTCAGGGAAAAGCTCGAAGACCTTGAAGACGAATTGCGCGACATAACCGGCCACATAATTTTTGCTGGAGATTTCAACGCAAGAGGCGTGGAATGGGGTATGCCCCAAACAAACACCAGGGGAAGACTGGTCCTTGAAATGGCAGCCCGCATTGGCCTGACCATCCTCAACACCGGAACGACCCCTACATATCGAAGGCCGGGTTTTGGATACTCTATCCCTGACATAACCCTGGTCTCAGAAAGCCTTCTTCGAAGGGCTGACGGATGGAGAGTGATGGAAGACCTGAGTGGTAGCGACCACAACTACATCATCTTCCAAGTCACTGACATAACGCGAGGGCAAACACGTAGTATCCCTCGCAGGAAACCAGGATGGAACCCGTCTAGGGTCGATGTTCGCAAGTTCGATACGTCACTCCTAGCAGATTCCCAAGGTATTTCACCCACAACGGGAGAGATCCACAACAGGGAGTCTTGCACTAAGCTGGCCGAAGAAACTATGCGCTGCATTCACCGGGCATGCAAAGCCTTAATGCCACAGAGGAGAGCATGGTCAGGTAAATGACCGAATTGTTGAGCTGCGAAGGGCCTGCCATAGAATGCGGAGACTCGTAACGCGCGCTCGTGGTAGACCTGAGGCGCTGACCAGAGGAGCAGCCTACAAAAGCGCTAAGAAAGCACTTGGGCCGAGATACAGAAGAGTAAACGGAACTGCTGGAAAGCGCTATGTGACGAAGTGGATCGCGATCCCTGGGGCCAGGGATACAAAGTAGTGATGAAAAAGTTCCATACATCATCGCAAGCGATGGATGAGGTCCGAGTTAAGAATATAGTGGATGCGCTATTTCCCACACACCCACTAAGAGCCGACACAGTGTTCGTCGAGGAGCAAGCCGAGGCACCACCGTTTTCGACAGACGAGCTGAAGCTAGCCCTGCGAAGCATGAAAGCCGGCAAGGCTCCAGGCCCAGATGGCATACCAGCGCATGCAATCAGGTTAGCAGCGGAAACGAGCCCTGATCTTCTGCTTAACATGTACAACAGCTGCCTTAGGGTCCGGGTCTTCCCAAGCCAATTGAAGAAGGCGAGACTGGTGCTTATACCCAAGGCAAAGGGGACCCAAACTCTCCTTCATCCTTCCGGCCACTCTGCATGCTAGACACAGCAGGCAAAATGATGGAGAGTCTGCTCAAAATACGCTTGACGTCAGCCATAGAAAGCGAGGGAGGCCTTTCACCCCGACAACATGGCTTCAGGAAGGGACACTCAACTATAGGAGCAATTGGCGAAGTAGTCGAGGCGGTACATAAGGCCGAAGAAGCCTGCCACCAGGCGCGGCCAATAGTGCTGCTAGTCACACTGGACGTCAAGAACGCCTTCAACTCGGCAAGATGGGACGACATGCTGGAGGCCTTGGAACGGTCATTCAAGGTTCCAACATACTTGCTAGATATGATCCGGGACTACCTCAGAGACCGTTGGCTTTTGTACGACACAACACAAGGTCAGAGAAAGAGACGTATAACCGGCGGAGCGGCACAGGGTTCTGTACTTGGCCCGGACCTCTGGAACGCCACGTATGACAGTCTGTTGCGCACGGAAATGCCGGAGAGCGCCTTCCTTGTCGCCTTCTCGGACTACGTGGCCGCCGTCATAACAGCAAGAAATGTCCAGCTAGCACAGCTCAAGCTAAACCAGGTCATGCGCAACGTCAGTGGATGGATGAGCATTCATGGTCTGCAATTGGCTACAGCCAACACGGAGATCGTGCTCCTCACCAGGAAACGGATCCCAACAATTATAAATATGATGGTCGGACCTCGACTCGTGACGACTTCTAGGTCTACAAAATACCTAGGGGTGAAGCTTGACAGCAAACTCACATTCTGGGAACACATCCATCGAGTATGTGAAAAAGCTGCGCAGAGCACGGCGGCTCTAAGCCGGCTGATGGCGAACGTGGGCGGTCCGAAGCCATGCCGCAGGAAGCTTCTGATGACAGCGGTCCAATCGGTGCTCCTGTACGGGGCAGAAATATGGGCTGACGCATTGAAAGTCAAAAAATACCGGATTCAAATGTCTTCGGTACAGCGCAGAGGGGCACTACGCATTGCTTCTGCATACCGTACAGTGTCCGCGGACGCGGTTCTAGTTATTTCTGGCGTCATGCCAATTGAGCTACTTGCTTACGAGCGAAAAGAGATTTAAAATCTCAGTGCCGAGATAGGTCGAGCAGCTGCCGCGGCAAGGCCGCGCGAGCAACTGATTCAGCAGTGGCAACAAAACTGAAACGCGAGCACAAAAGGTCGATGGACGCACTCCCTGATAGCCGACTTCAAACATGGCTGAACAGACCACATAGGGAAGTCGATTTCTACCTGACGCAATTCCTCACCGGTCATGGTTACTTCCGAGAATATCTTCATAGAATGGGAAGGGTGGACTCACCGTTCTGTCACTACTATGGAAACGTCGAAGATAACGTGTACCACACATTCTTCGCCTGCGAACACTTCTTGATTTCGCGCAGAATGTTGGAAGAAAGACACGGAGACATAACTCCGAACAACATAGTTGGGGTAATGGTCTCCAGCGCAGAAAAGTGGGAAGCAGTTGCGAGATACGTGAAATTCGTACTCCGCTGCAAACGAGAGGACGGTTGTCTACTGAGGACACCCGAATGAAACGCCCCTACAAAAGAGCAGCCCCAAGGCTCTAACAGCGCGCTCCTGCATCTGAAGACATGCAGAATTGCGGTGCCAGATGCGGGATTCTTGCGCGGGCGGTGGGAGTTTGGGTTTTAGTGGGTAGCCCAACACGCTTCGGTGGGAGTCCCACACTCGGGGAAGATAGTATAGAGACTAGCGCCCCCGGCCAGTGCATAAAGCATTTCCCTCTCCTACGAAAAAAAAAAAAAAAAAATATGGAAACAAGAAACGTCAAACCAACATTTTATTTCAAAGAATATATTTTTGAAATTTTTTTCTGTGAAGAGCTTATGCCTGGGTATGCTTTATTCAAATTCTTAGTATAAAATCTGTCGACTTTAGTGGCTTCTTGGCGGTATATAATTAATTTTTTGGGGAAATCTCCGTTTAATTATTTTTAGTGGATAAATTGTCTTTACAAAAATACCAGACAAGTTCACATTGCAGATAACGAATTTTTCGATTTAAGCCCACTTAGGCGGCACTGTGCGCTGCAAGATTTGCTGCGATGATTCTTGTGAGGTACAAGTGCTTGTATCAAAAGTAACGAGTAAAGTAACGATACGAAAGATATGGGTGTTGATTGGATTAGTAACGAATACATACGGGTATCCGAAATTTCGTTACTTTTACAGCTCTATCAGGGATAGTAGCTGAGAGCTATAGGTTTAATTTAAGAGAGTGTCTATTCGCGCTTTACCAGTGTCATCAGTGTACCAGAGTCGACAGTCTTTGGCTTTGCCAGTGTCACCAGCGTACCAGTGGCGGCACTGTCGACACTGGTGACACTGGCGGCACTGTCGACACTGGTGAAACTGGTACACTGGTGAAACTAGTGACACTAGTACACTGGCGACACTGGTGACACTGGCGACACTGGTGACACTGGTACACTGGCGACATTGGTGACACTGGCGACGCTGGCGACACTGGTGACACTGGCGACACTGGTACAGTGGTGACACTGGTACACTGGTGAACCTGGCGACACTGGTACACTGGTGACACTGGCGGCACTGTCGACATTGGTGACACTGGCGACACTGACGACAGAGACGAAGACTCCCGATACTGGTACACTGGTGACACTGGCAAAGTGTGAATGGACACTCCTTTTTTGCTAAACCTTCTAAAATATTGCAAAAAACACGATTTTTTAACAATTTTACCTCGTTTTTCTCAAAATCTGGAGCTGATGGAAACTGTGTTCTTACGGATTCGTAGTCAGTACAAAAAAGTCTATCAAAAACAGGTTTTACATTTGCCGCAACAAAATCACTGTTGCCTTGTGTTATTTTTTGGGTGAACTACGTATGTAGATACAATATTGTTTCGGTGTCGTCGACGAACAACTGACTCACTTGACTAGAACCACTTTCGTCCAGCGCATTTCCACAGTTTGGCGGTAGAACATTGCTGCTATGAGCTGGCGATGTTTGGTG